CTCTCCCCAGGCCATGCCCTGCTGGGAGCTGCTGGCCTTGGGGTGGGTGTATGCCACAGGCGCAGGGCTCCCAGGCCATGCCCTAATGGGTGCTGGAGTGGGTGCCTGCTGTGGGTGCAGGGCTCTGCTGGGTGGCCCCGGCCCTGGCACGGGTGCACGCTGCAGGCGCAGGGCTCTCGGGTGAAGCCCTGCAGGGTGCTGCCAGCCCTGGGGAGGGTGAACACTTGGGATCAGCTCCTCTGTTCACCTGGGGGGAGCAGGATGTTCACTCTAAACTAAATGTTCAACTCCTGGTCTCCGAGAGTGCCAAGGATGAATTCCTCCCCCCTCTAAGGCTTCAATCATCCCCCTGTGAAAAATGTGCATCTTATTTCATTTGCAAGTATCTTGGACTCCGGTTACCAGCACTTCCCTCGTCTTGCCTTTTCCCGACAGCTTAAAGGGTTTTTCAGTCTCTCTTTTTTCTCCCCATGAAGGAATTCACACACTGTGATGGAGCCACTCTCGGCTCTTTTCAGATGAGAGCAGATGGAGCCCTTCTGCTCCCTCCCCGCCGGGTGTTTCCTCCTGCCGCCCCAGCGCTCAGTCCCTCCTCTGCAAAGTGCATCCTAGGGCAGGGAGCTGCGTTCTCATCCACACCATCTTGAGGGGCTAAATCCCCGCTTCCCACCACTTGCTGGGCCCTGCCTGCACGTCTGGCTGACGGCGAGCCCCTGTGGGACCAGGGCTGCAGCATGGGCTTGTGCCGAGGTTGCCTCCACTCAGCCCTACAGAAGCCCACAGCAGTTCTGCCTCCATCCCACCGCTGCCTCTCCCAGCCCTGTGGCTCGGGCATGGCCTGCCCATCCTGGGGGAGAAGCCTTTTCATCTTGTCCAAAAACGCCTGGCAGCAGGATTTACCCCTCCAGGAGTCCCCGTGTCACCTGGGGGTGCAGGCAAGGTGGTGGCACTGGAGCTTCCCAAGGGCAGTGGCCATCAGGAGCAGCTTTCCTGCCCTGCACAGCTCTCCCTTGAGGACTTTTAGCCAAGAGTCTGCATTTGAGATCTGCTACTCTGTTTAACTGCAGTTTTGCAGAGCTGTGCCAAGAGTCTGCATTTGAGATCTGCCACTCTGTTTAACTGCAGTTTTGCAGAGCTGATTTTTAAGCCCAGCCTCTCCCATGGCACCCAGCCTTGCTGAAGCAATGACATGCCCACCCAATACTTCCATCAACCAAACTTATTTTCCTGTGCCCAAGTAGGCAACTAATATTCAGGGTTTCCCATCTTTTTCCTTTGCAGGGATAAACTCCCTGTTGTTGGGGGCGAAGCATCTCTTTGGTGTAGGTGTGTTTATGTACAAAGCTGTAGGAGGCTCCTGCAGGAATAAATACCAGCCACCCGTTTCTTCTTCTTCTGGCCCTGAGCTGTCTCCAAGAATTTCCCAGCCTGCTGCTTGTGGAAAGGGTGAGTGAGAGGCCTCAGGGCAAGCACCCAGCAGCGACAGCACAGGGAGGAGTCACAGAGGTAGGAGCTGGGGAAGGAGGAATTTGGGAAATTTCAGCAGGCACAGAGTCCAGAGAGCCCCCAGCCCCCTCTGCCAGCGGGTGCTTTCTCATTTATTTCATGGTCAGAAGGAATTTTTTAAATGAGGAAAAGGAAAAAGAAGGAAAAAAAAAACAGATAGGAAACACTGCAGGGGAAAAAGAAACAACAAAAAATGCAAATTTTGGTCGTTGCTTTTTCCAAACCTTTGAGGTTTGGGGGGCCCCTCTGCACCCACCCTGCTGCGGTTGCTGGAGGGGAGCTGGGGACATGTTAGGGGGGGTGATAGGGAGGGGTCGTCCCCTGGCAGGGCAAGAGCATCAGGCTTCTCTGCGGGGCCTGGGGTCCCTGCGTGGCACCTTGGGGTGCACCTCGCTGGCCTGCGCCCCCTACACCCCCAGGTCATGCCAGATGTTGTACATCTGCCCCCCCCCCAAGGGACAGATCCGCCGCCGT